GGAGAGTGTGGGAGAGTGTAGGAGAGTGTGGGAGTGTGTGGGAGTGTGTGGGAGAGTGTAGGAGAGTGTGGGAGTGTGTGGGAGTGTGTGGGAGTGTGTGGGAGAGTGTGGGAGAGTGTGGGAGAGTGTGGGAGAGTGTGAGAGTGTGTGGGAGTGTGTGGGAGTGTGTGGGAGAGTGTGGGTGTGTGGGAGTGTGTGGGAGTGTGTGGGAGTGTGTGGGAGTGTGTGGGAGTGTGTGGGAGAGTGTGGGAGTGTGTGGGAGTGTGTGGGAGTGTGTGGGAGAGTGTGGGAGTGTGTGGGAGAGTGTGGGAGTGTGTGGGAGTGTGTGGGAGTGTGTGGGAGTGTGTGGGAGTGTGTGGGAGTGTGTGGGAGTGTGTGGGAGAGTGTGGGAGAGTGTGGGAGAGTGTGGGAGTGTGTGGGAGTGTGTGGGAGTGTGTAGGAGTGTGTGGGAGTGTGTGGGAGAGTGTGGGAGAGCGGGTCGTAGGGTAGATAAGTTGTAATTAGATAAGTTGTGGAGAGGGGTAATTAAGTGAGATTAATAGATACAACATTATTAATAACCACAATTATTACCACCGTCACCATCACCGTGTCCACACTATCACTATTATCTTAATTATTACCAATTTAATGACACCATCAATACAAATGTGATAAAAAAAAAGCTCAGACGATAGATCTTGGGCCTCACACACAGGTGGGGGTCGAGGGTTCGAGTCCACTAGTGCCCAGGTGAGTGAAATGTTAGGATTATAAGCAGCAGCAGCGACAACAGAGCCATCACGCAGGCCATGAGTGCTGGGGGTGAGTCACAACAGTGGGGAGCACTCCCCCATGACTCAACGATGAATACTTATGGCATGTAGCCAACACACAAGGGGGGGAGGCTAGGGGGGCTAGGGGGGGTTTTAGGGGGGGCACTGGGATTGCTGCAGAGTGGGAGGATAGTCTCAGGATAAGGGTCTTCGATCTTCCAATGCACAAGGGGAGCTCCACTGTTTGCCTCAACAAGCCTAGTGAGATCACAAAGGCTGTGTTACCATGGTAATGGTCTCACGGAGCACGCTACTGGATGGTTGGGCTTAGTGGCGTCAGTACAGGTCCCACCCACACAGGTCCCACCCACACAGGTCACACACCCACAGGTCACACACACACACAGGTCACACACACACAGGTCACACACACACAGGTCACACCCACACAGGTCACACACAGGTCACACACCCACAGGTCACACACACACAGGTCACACACACACAGGTCACACACCCACAGGTCACACACCCACAGGTCACACACCCACAGGTCACACCCCCACAGGTCACACCCCCACAGGTCACACCCCCACAGGTCACACCCCCACAGGTCACACCCCACAGGTCACACCCCCACAGGTCACACCCCCACAGGTCACACACACACAGGTCACACACACCCCACAGGTCACACACCCACAGGTCACACCCCCACAGGTCACACACCCACAGGTCACACCCCCACAGGTCACACACCCACATGAGTGCGGGTTGACCAGTGACCTGATACATCAGGTTCTGAGAATGTTCCTCACAGCTCGAGCGACTGGTCCATCCTACCAGCACCAGTGTGAGAGCTTACCTAATAGCACTTACGAGTAGGGAAGAATAGCTCTTGGGCCCGCCTCTCGACAAGTGATCATCCAGAGCAACTTCTCATAATTTTCTAATATTTTATTCTAATAAAGATTAATAGAAAGCCTGTGAGTTAATACGAGACAGCTCTTCTCACATCCAGCAACTTCGGTCGAATACTAATTCAAAAAACCTTTTTGCCTTTTTTGACAATTACTTTCTAATTCAAAAAATGCACGAAACTCTCCAGTAACTTTGGTTCTATGCTGTAACTTGTAACCCAAACAAGCGACCAAAACGTCTTGAGAAGCATGCATAACAAGACGTCAGTATTACTGAGCTTGAAGTTGTGGCAAGACAAGCACAGTTTCTTTCACCCTATGCCCCTCTTACCTAGCAGTAAAATAGGTACCAGGGTGTTAGTCAGCTGTCACGGGCTGCTTCCTGGGGGTGGAGGCCTGGTCGAGGACCGGGCCGCGGGGACACTAAAACCCCGAAATCATCTCAAGATAACCTCAAGATAGACAACGCGGCACTTTTAGCGGAGTGAGCTGGAGAGTGAGGCAGCAGGAGCGGTTACCCCGGGGAAGACATCACCCGCCGGCTCCTCCACGACACTCTACTCAACGGTAATATATCACGTTAATAATTATGGTAGATGTGGCCAGGCTTGGACACCCCACGGGGGGAACTGGTGTCCTTAAGTGAGAGGCGCTACACCCCAGAGGGACTCCTTATAGTGGTGAAGGTGGGGGGTGTTAGCAGGAGGAAGGGGGAGGGGGGGGAAGCCATGGTCGTGGTCAGCAAGAGAGCCCAAAACGTACGAACGAACGTACGTGTGTGTGTGTGTGTGTGTGTGTGTGTGTGTGTGTGTGTGTGTGTGTGTGTGTGTGTGTGTGTGTGTGTGTGTGTGTGTGTGTGTGTGCGTGCGCGCGCTGTACAAATGCACTAATATAGACCTAGCTACATGAAAGTGTGGAGTATGCAAGTATATACTGGCCGAGGTACAACTCTAGCCTCAGCTGCTAAGCCCAGCAGGCGGGAACAACATAGGTGGTGGCGCCGCGAGTTGGTGTCCACAATCACTACTCCGACACAGCCACAGCGGCACCAAGTACGGCAAATCGATTTCCATTCCCAGAAGTGACTCCGAAAATGTCAGGCATGAAGCCCTTCCATTGCTCAAGACCTCCCCTTCCCCCCCCCCTCAGTATACATGTATGTATACCTGTCTCCAGCGCCGCCAGGAAGACCCAGACGTCAGAGATAAGCCCATGAAGAGCTGAGATAAGCCCATGAAGAGCTGAGATAATCCCACAAACATGTGTGGCCATATACAAGTTGAGAGGCGGGACCAAAGAGCCAAAGCTCAACCCCCGCAAGCACAATTAGGTGAGTACAAGAGCTCGGCGGAGAGATGGGTGGAGGGAGTTACGGTATACCAGACATATCCTGGTTGAGTCACGGTATACCAGACATATCCTGGTTGAGTCACGGTATACCAGACATATCCTGGTTGAGTCACGGTATACCAGAGACATCCTGGTTGTCACGGTATACCGTGACATCCTGGTTGAGTCACGGTATACCAGTGGCATCCTGGTTGAGTCACGGTATACCAGTGACATCCTGGTTGAGTCGGAAGCCTTGAAGGTAGTGTGGAAGCCTTGAGGGTAGCGTTCAAGCCTTGAGGGTAGTGTGGAAGCCTTGAGGGTAGTGTGGAAGCCTTGAGGGTAGCGTTCAAGCCTTGAGGGTAGTGTGGAAGCCTTGAGGGTAGTGTGGAAGCCTTGAGGGTAGCGTGCAAGCCTTGAGGGTAGTGTGGAAGCCTTGAGGGTAGTGTGGAAGCCTTGAGGGTAGCGTGGAAGCCTTGAGGGTAGTGTGGAAGCCTTGAGGGTAGTGTGGAAGCCTTGAAGGTAGTGTGGAAGCCTTGAGGGTAGTGTGGAAGCCTTGAGGGTAGTGTGGAAGCCTTGAGGGTAGCGTTCAAGCCTTGAGGGTAGTGTGGAAGCCTTGAGGGTAGTGTGGAAGCCTTGAGGGTAGCGTTCAAGCCTTGAGGGTAGTGTGGAAGCCTTGAGGGTAGTGTGGAAGCCTTGAGGGTAGCGTTCAAGCCTTGAGGGTAGTGTGGAAGCCTTGAGGGTAGTGTGGAAGCCTTGAGGGTAGTGTGGAAGCCTTGAGGGTAGCGTTCAAGCCTTGAGGGTAGTGTGGAAGCCTTGAGGGTAGTGTGGAAGCCTTGAGGGTAGCGTGGAAGCCTTGAGGGTAGCGTGGAAGCCTTGAGGGTAGTGTGGAAGCCTTGAGGGTAGTGTGGAAGCCTTGAGGGTAGTGTGGAAGCCTTGAGGGTAGCGTGGAAGCCTTGAGGGTAGCGTTCAAGCCTTGAGGGTAGTGTGGAAGCCTTGAGGGTAGTGTGGAAGCCTTGAGGGTAGTGTGGAAGCCTTGAGGGTAGTGTGGAAGCCTTGAGGGTAGCGTGCAAGCCTTGAGAGTAGTGTGGAAGCCTTGAGGGTAGTATGGAAGCCATATTGAGGGGTTAGGGGATGACTAGCCACAGACGAGGGGACTCATCCCACCAGCCAAGTATGGTGGCCAGGGTCCTAAGTCCCAAGATACGTCTTGGATAACAGGGCAGGAGGAACGTCTAAGATAACATCTGGTTGTTATAGACAGGAAGAGGAGAAGGAGGACCAGGAGGAGGACCAGGAGGAGGACCAGGAGGAGGACCAGGAGGAGGACCAGGAGGAGCACCAACTGGGAAGGTCTTTGTGCAAGCGGTACAGTATCAGGTGTCTAAGGGAGACGAGAAGAATTTCCGCGCTGTCAGAAAAAAATGGGGCGTCAGAAGATATTTTTCCCTGAATGAGCTCACTCGGTGAGTGAGTAGGGGTGAGTGTGGTGGCTAGGGTATACCACACACGGTGTAGGGGCGACCCTTGGTATACCAGGCCAAGGGTATACCAGCCCCAATGGCATACCAGGCCAAGGGTATATCAGCCCCAAGGGTATATCAGCCCCAAGGGTATATCAGCCCCAAGGGTATATCAGCCCCAAGGGTATATCAGCCCCAAGGGTATATCAGCCCAAGGGAATATCAGCCCCAAGGGTATATCAGCCCCAAGGGTATATCAGCCCCAAGGGTATATCAGCCCCAAGGGTATATCAGCCCCAAGGGTATATCAGCCCCAAGGGTATATCAGCCCCAAGGGTATATCAGCCCCAAGGGTATATCAGCCCCAAGGGTATATCAGCCCCAAGGGTATATCAGCCCCAAGGGTATATCAGCCCCAAGGGTATATCAGCCCCAAGGGTATATCAGCCCCAAGGGTATATCAGCCCAAGGGTATACCAGGCCCAAGGAAGACTGGGCCCAGGTGGAAGACGGGAGGAGGGTAGAGTACTCACCTTCTTGAGGAGCGGGAAGGTGCGGAAGAGAAGCTGTTCGTGGTCGTCAATGACCCAGGAGCGGATCCTGCGGTACATGGCGGCGGTGGCCGGGGCGCCGCGCCTCACCACCTGCCCCAGGGTATCCCCGCCTGCGCCTGCCACCTCCACTGCTGCGCCCACCACCACCACCACCCTCTATCACGCCTCCCTACACACACACGCCGTGGAGAGCCCAGGTGTTAACATCTGCCTCACCTGACCACCTGTCTCCTGCCTTCACTCACACACACACACACACACACACACACACACACACACACACACACACACACACACACACACACACACACACACACACACACACACCCACACACACACACACACACACACACACACACAACCCCTAGTCCTCAATGCACACTACATACAATTACCTATGTGTATTGTACAGCACATATTATACATATCTATATACACACACACACACACACACACATTATATATATATTGATGGACATGATCTCTCATGGAGAGATCATGTCCATCAAGCATGAGGATACACTGACGGAGCAACATCTCTCGAACCTGGGAAAGGAAAAAAAAACAGCCGGAGACGACATGATCACAACATACAAGATTATCTGAGGAACTAACAAGTTGACAATATAAACTTTCGGCATGACCAAAGGTAGAATGTGAGAGCATCTTTAAAACCCGCGACAGTCCACACGGATGTGAGGAGACACTCCATCAATGTGACACATACTGGCGAACACATGCATCGAACTAAAACCAGAAAGAGGTACAGTCTCCATGAAACTCAAGAAACATGCAGGAGTATCGGGATAAGCCTGGAACAGGGGACGGAGTACCTCTCTAACAGATGGAAGTTAGATAAAATAAATCAGAAATGACTTACATTTCTTACAAGAGAAATGGCTACTCAACATAACCCCCAGTAAGTGCAAGGTTATGAGAGGGAGACAACAGCAAGGACCTAACATGTGTCCAATAAACAATAAAAAGCAGACAGTGGCCCGAATAAGAAGCAAGAGGATGAAGACTCAGGAACACCACCCAGCCCGCCTCCAGAGGTCACATAACTAGCCGCATCAACTTTTATACGG